TATCTCACAAGTTTTTCATTCAGAGTTTGAGATTGAATTGCTATATTTTATAATTATTACCCTACATGGATATAACAGAAACCATATTCAATGCTGCTGGACCATAACATCCATATTTCAATATCGTAAGAGAATACCTGATTTAAATGAAAATTGCGGCTTCAATTACTTTTTACAATGCCTGTTTTAATTCAGCCTGAACCTGTACACTTTTCTAATAGTTGCACAACTTTGTTACTGAAGTTCTGAAGTACTGTTACAATTTTCATGATTACAATGTTTTTTTCATCTAAAAGCAATTAGAATTCTATGTTAAAAGACATGGGATTTACGTCTTAAAGCCCACTCGTAAATAACACAAATCAATGTGCCACTTATTTGGATGTCTAAAGTAAAGTAAAGTAAATCCCGAACACTTATAGCTAAAGGAAATGAACTTTGTGCTAAGCGTCTGAAAGTTGGTGTACAAATCATTTGCCCTTGGTAACGAATTGGACTTTGCTTCGACTGGGGTTTTTCTTTAGATTGACCATTTACAATTAAGCTGAAAATGTGTTTTCCCATACGGAAGTGATTATTAGAGTAGAATGTTGGTCGACTCTTGCCCGTGGTAAAGCACATAGAAATGCCTAATGACTAAAGCCTCTTCTTGGCCATATCACAAATAGCTGCTCAACATTTCTGCTTACAAGCTGCACTCGCGCTCTGTCTGTGGCCGTACGAGTATCTTTGTATCTATTCGCATTTGCTGCAAGCTCGAAGCTCGGGCGATTTCTATTTCTCCATGGCTGGCTGAACGGCCAAGTGGCCAAGTGCGATGTCCGGCAGCTTGAAGAGAATGCGTACACACATGCATACATACATACATACATGCTTATAAATGTATGTATGTATGTATGTATGTATGTACATAGATATGGACAATAGTCGTCGACAAACAAGTGCGAGTGGCAATAAGTGCGATTAGCATAAAAATAATAAAAAGAAAACATTTGCCACACCTCTACCGATGTTGGCCTTAAGCACAACAACTCACCCATTAAATGCACACTAAGGCAGCCGGCCATAGAGACCATAGAGATCCGATCCAACGACCCAGCAAACCAGCAAGCCAGCAAGCCAGAAAGCCAGCGAGTCGGCCAGTCAGCCAGTGAGCCAACGATACTCGAAAACTGAAGAGTGTTTTTATTATATCAAGCCTGAAAACGAGAAACACGGCCAGCACTCTGGAAGTGACGTGAAGTGGAGCTCTCATTAACATAAATGCCGAAGATCAACACATCGCATTGGGTCTGGCGGGACCCCACAGCATGCCCAGGCCAACTGAACTCAGCTCAACTGAACGCTGGGCATCTGCATGGGTATCAGTGTGGTGATGGGCTATGGCTATGGCTATGGGTATGGGTATGGCCAGTGCCTAGCCCCATTTCTGGTCCGTCCACTTATCCAGAGCGCGTCTGCTGTCTGCTGTCGAACCGTCTTTCTCTTATGTTTGTGCCCGCTCTTCAACTGCACTCAGCCACATGCCCAATCATGCCCAAGAACCATCCACATCGGTGAACGATCCCATACGATTTCCGCCTCCACCCCCACCCATCACTCCCCTTCCCACACCACCACCACCACCACGAGCACCACCAGCACTTCATTTTAGTGGCGATTTCGCATCAAATTTTGCCAACATTCCGTTAGATCGGCATTATTTACTTTTAAATCAGAAGATCCGCAGTTCTGTCATTTGTTTCAGAACTTTGAAATACCGACATTACTTCTAAATTCTTCTGAAGTAGAAAAGTGCGAAAATGATAATAGATTTTTGTATGTTCAGTATATAGCTTATTATCAATGCTATTCTTCGAATATGTACATCATTCAGCCTCTTGCTTTTGGGGAAAAGGAGGGAAAAGAGGCAAAAAGAGGGAAAAGGACTATGTGAACATTTATTATCAATAATGGAAAAGTATATGAAATAAACTCATGATCTAATTTATCCAATTATGGCCGCACTTTGTTGCAAAAAGTAATTGAGTTGCTTGAGTGTAAGCGAAAAGTTAAGACCAATTGTACCATAAAATATACAATATATATACAAATAGATACCCGTTCTAATAAGTTCTTGAGCGAAATAATTTGAGATGAATAGTTCAATATTAATGTTGGTTAATAAGTGCTTAAAAAATAGACGTACTTTTGACATATATTTATTGGAATTAATAGGGATAATTGCATTTGGCATCTAGTCTTATTTAATGGTAACATTTTTTTGTAGAATTTTCAAATATTCGTTGCTACGCTTTTGACTCCTAATGTACGGCCTAATTTCTACAAAAAGGTCATGCTTTGTTCTAGTTTTATGCTTTTAATAAAAAGAAGAACGTTTAAATTAACATCGATTTGTAGGATTTGAAAACTTGATGTGCCAATTGTTTGGAATATTTTAAATAATTGTTCATTATTGATTATGTAAACTATTATAGCATTCGTAGCACGAACCACACTTTAAAAGTATTATTATTTTGTGTTACACAAAACTAAATTTATTTTATTTTACGAATGGCAGTCAATATTTTAGCCACTTTTCTGGATCTATTGTTTTGCAATGTTCAGGCTTAATTTTTTGGCAAAACTCGAGCGATCGATAAGTATCTAGTTTCAACCGCCTCTTTTAAAGTTCGGTGATCGCCTTTTTATTGAAGTACTCTATGAAGAAAATATTTGAATTTACGCCACCCAGCCATGTGGAAGTGGTCTTCCTTTGAAGAATCTTAAAACAAATGTGGAAATGAAACTGAAGGGTTCCTTTTTCCATCAACGAATTTTTTGCATTTGCTAAATTAGTAAAGGTTTGATGGCTGACACGAAGCTAAAAATGTACATTACGAAAATCTTAAATGGAAACTAACAAAATAGCATTAATATTAAATAAAGGCTCCAATACGCTGGTGATCATACGATCAGCTATTTTATTTGTGAGCGCGAAATCAAAATACCTTTGTGCCTCACAATAAAATTTCAACTATCCGAAAACCTCCAAGACAAATGCTATTTCAAACTTTGAAGATTCGGCTTCATTGTTGACAACAAATATTTCACTTACTAGTGCTAGCTATTTGATAAAAAAAAAACAACTTTATAAAATATACAGAGTTATTTTTACTAATAAATCGAATTGATGAGTGACGGGCTTTGATGTACAAATACGCTTTTCAGACCTTTCATATGGAGAATATTTTATTTATAATAGAGTTTCTTTAATCTTAATTCATTTAATTGAGTAAAATGATGTATTTTTTTCTAGTGGATGAGATTGCAAGAATTCTATCGCGTCCATTATTTGAAAATTTGTCTGTTGAAGTTGGACCCCAAATTTCCAAATGTAAAAATATGTTATGAATATAATGTTGCTTCAATAAAGACAAATAGATCTATGCTGAGATATAATTTTCGGATGGAACAAACTTCTTTGGAATTTACATTTCAAAGCCTAAGCATATAGTACTTTAAGAGTAGAGTTCTGCTCACTTGGATCTTCTGGATCTATTATATCCGTTCGGCAGGGAATATAATATAATTCTTTATACAGCTGCTTTGCTTACAAGAATGCAACGATCTAAGGATTTTCATTGCCTAGGTCTTCAGGGCCAGTCCAAAACTGTAAAGTGCTTAGCTATAAGCAAAGATAAGGCCCATCAAATGAGTTTCGGATTTTGCATTTTTTCTCAAATTTGGTCGGTTTCGAACGGTCCATCATTTTTCCGGTAGTTTGGTAAGCCTAGGTCCAACAATTAACTTGTTAGTTAAGTGAGAGCCTTGCACTGTTCAATAGCTTATAGTTCTTTTTGTTGTGTTGATTAAACTGTATCACAATAGTGATCGATTTATAAAAAAGGTACTTAAAGAGAGCTTCTGGAAATAAAGTAAATTTTTTAACAAGAGAAAGAGAGAGAGAGAGAGAGAGAGAGAGCGAGAGAGAGAAATATAATATATTCTCGATCCTTCTTTTCACCTTGACTTGGAACCGTCAACAGTGTCCTTTGAGAAGTCCCGTTATGATCCGCTGATGGATTTCTCATTGTAATATCCGCAGATATCGCAATACGAATAGCTCTGATATGTCAGTTCTAAATATGTACGCTTGATTTATTAGCTTTTAAAATAATATCCGAAATTCGAGCTCTACATGTAATTGTACTTTAACTGACTGAGCAACAATTTAACATACTTATAAACTTATAGATGTCGGAGATATGGTTTAATTGTGCTATGAAATACACGGGAAATAAAGCAAGTTTCAAAGGTTGTCACTTAAAAGCTGTGTTACTATAGAAAGAACCTCCAACTAACTGGCTCTTTCCCATAGCGAACACTCAATTGTGGTCTCAACTTTAGGAATAAGTATATAAGAAGAAAGATATATAGAGTATTTGGTGGTTTGCTATTTATCTATAGTTTAAGCCCAATAACAGACTGGATATTGCCACTTAAAGAGGAGGAAATTGAGTTAATAGTATGTATGCAAGATGATCTTTTTTGATCCTAAAAATTAAGCACTTCCCAACCAATGCGTCAGTTCTGCAGAATGGTTTGGAAAACATCTTGAGATGACAGATGAACTTTTCATGCTTAGTTGTTACCGGAAATTCGACCGACTAAGACCTCTTTAAATACCAATTTAATACACAATCTTCTTGTCCAGTTAACGGCTGTCCTAATCGGTCATAAAGCCGTCAATTGCTTTTTATTATAAACCTTTTAATAATTAATAATAATTTAAAAATGAATAAATATAAAAGAAAGGCTGATGTGTGTTGGTTCCACTTGGATTCGATTAAAAAGAGATTCCACCTATGTAGACCATCTTTTGTGGTAAAAGAATTCTCATTGTGTTTATCTTTACAGGTGCCATTAGTTCGGAGCTAAAGACGTGCGGGGAAACAAAGGATGAAATTGGAGAGCTGTGAGTAGGAAAGCTTGCAAGTTCGGACCAAAGGCAAATGCAAATGGCTAACACTGACTTGGCCTCATCGCGGCCATCGTCACCGGGACAGGAGCGAGCGCCGAAGCCGCAACTGATGGCTGGCATTTATCCCGGCGGTGGTTCGGCCAATTGTGGCGGTGGCAACACTGGTGGCGCCCCCAATCCGAGCTCTCGGCCATCGCACTCGCAGGCCACAATGGCTCTGGAGCAGTATCGCCTGCAACTCTACAACTATGCGCTGAATATAGAGCGTCTGCGGTGTCCACAATATGCGAGTGCCGCCGGTTCGATGGCGCCTTGGGTGCATCCCTATGGGGCCCATGGTGCGGGGGGAAATCGGATGGCGACGCTCTCGACCATCTCGCTCTTTCCCCAATCGCAGCGCATCTTCCAGCCCGAGGAGCCGAAGCCACAGCATAGCTATATCGGCCTGATAGCCATGGCGATTCTAAGCTCGACGGATCTGAAGCTTGTGCTGTCGGACATTTATCAGTATATATTGGATAACTATCCGTACTTTCGCACCCGTGGTCCGGGCTGGCGAAACTCGATTAGGCACAATCTCTCCCTTAACGATTGCTTCATTAAGTCGGGCCGAAGTGCCAATGGAAAGGGCCACTACTGGGCAATTCATCCGGCGAATATGGACGACTTCCGCAAGGGTGATTTCCGGCGGCGGAAAGCGCAGCGGAAAGTGCGCAAGCATATGGGCCTGTCCGTGGATGATGCCAGCACTGATTCCCCCAGTCCTCCGCCTTTGGATCTGACGACGCCGCCACCCACTGCGCAGGCTTCCATGCAGCTGGCCGCTCTCAATTATCCGTACCATCATCACTACATCGGCCAGTTCTTTGGACGCAGTGTGGCAGTTGCGTCCAGTCTACAGCCCCAATATGCGGCCGTGCAACGCGACCAGGTCCACCATCAGCCATCGGAGCAACAGCTGCCCCAACGCCTCGAGCCGGCCATCCAACAATCGCAGCACCAGCACATAGCTTATATTAACTCGACGACAACGACCACCATTGCGAATCTCTACTCACAGACCCGTAAGCGACAGTTCGACGTGGCCTCCCTTCTCGCTCCCGATGTGCAGATTGTCGACATTGTGGAGGACAAGGCCGCCGAGTTGACACTCTCCGATGCACCCGCAGCCACACGCACCACCACCCAGACCCAGCATACGGTCATCACCAAGGTGCAGGTGCAAAAGCAGCAGACCATTCATCGTGAGGTGGTCGTGGATCTTGAGGAGTCTCCGGGAGCTGATGCCGATGTAGACGGTGACGTGGACATCGATGTGGTTGATGATGTCGACGAAGACGTGGATGCCGAAGAGCAGGAGCCGGAAGAGCAGCCCCTTCAGCGACAACATCCGCGTCGGGAGCACCATCTGAGTACACAACAGGTTATCCAGCAGGTTTTTACTGCGGCAGACGACAATATTTCGTACCTAAGCGATGCCAGACGCTCTTCATTCGATGCGGACAACGAGGAGCAGGAGCCCCATCACCACCACCATCATCATTTCTCTGTCTCGCCCCTGCTGGACGGGTCAGCAGTCGGCGGTCAGCCCTCGGCCACCTATGCGCGCTCATTGGGCGGCAGCAGTAGCAGCCAACATGATTCTAATTCGCTGGAGGAGTGTCCCATCGGAGCGCATGTAGGCGCCCAATTGACTAACTCCTCGACACCACCACCCCTTGCCATGGCCATGCCCATGGCCATACCCAAGACTCATGTCGAGCTCAATCACATGGATCCGCACATATTGAGTCGTTACTATGGCACCTACATGGCTGCCGCAGCCGCTCGTCGTGCCAACTTGGAGGCGACGCGCGCCAAGTCCATTACACCGCCCCCGCCCATTGAGCTGGTATCGCATCAGTCGTCCTCCCATTAGTAACGCCCCACACCCCCACACCCTCACACCCCCATACTTCCACACAAACACACGCAAACGAAAAAAGAAGAAACCACTCTGATCCCACCCGGTAATATCACCAACCCATCCAGTCAAAGAGGATAACGTTGGATTATGTACGTTTTAATAAATATTAAAATAAAGTCTTTAAATATTGTTATGGTAGACCCCGAACGAACCAGACGGAACTTTTATTGAGTGTGGATCTAGTTCCAGGGAAGATCTAGAGAGCCTATAGAAACTTTTGACTATTTCGTTATCGTGCAAATGATAAAATTACGAGGCACATTCCCCACTTTGGTTCATTCGACTATTTCGACCATTTGCAAAAATACGAGAAAAAGAAATTACCAAAATAATCAGCTGATTGATTTCTGAAAAGAATCGAGGCCGAGAATAACCCTATTATATAATATTGAGCTGCTACTGCCAAGTGTAGTGCTTAGCTAAAGTGTTAAATCATTAGTTTGAAACGGGGGGCCCCTCCCCTCCTTAACATCCTCCCCTGCGTACGACTTAGTATGTATGTATGTATGCCATTCCCTAAAAATGTAATGTACTTAGATGCTAGATGTTATTTTTTAATTAATTAATTAATTTTTTTTTGATAAGGTAAGCTCCTTGATAAGTACGTTGGAACAGGAAAGAAGAGTTCAAAAATAAAATTAACCCCCAAAAGCCCTCTCTTTGTTTTTAATATCTCGATAGATGATGGATCATTGTCATCGATATTAGTTATGAATGAAATCCTATATCAACGAATACTGAATGATTCTCAACTGCTGGGATTCAAAATATGGTTATTTTTGTATTTAGGACGAATATTTGTGTACATATTTAATTTAGTCTCAATAATTGGTATATCCACGTTTACCGGCATTAAGCAATATTTCACGAATAAAATTTATAGTTTCGATGCGACTGAAGACACTGAAGAATTCATAGAATAATGCCAGCACTTGCAGGGGTGTTAATAAAAGCAACTATGAGTGCCATGAGTGGGACAGCTTAAGGTCTTATTGAGGATAGGTTTGAAAGTATTGTCTTTTTTTTCTCAGCAGATGTTCCCGTAAGTATGTATCATTGAAAAGTGTACAAATCGCAAAGCTATGTGATGTGAAAAGGCTGGGTCTGCTGTAGCAAAGAAAATCGATTAGTTACCTATCGTTGAAGCCGAATAGTGTTGGTAAGCGAAGCTGTGTCTCGCATTTCCGCTTAAGGATTCCGCTGGCCAAACAAACTAGTTCCTGAGCTACACTCAGCCCTGGCAAAGGTCCAATGCCATTGCAAAAGTAATGCGAGGTCCATGTTTTACAGGCACGCATCATAAATCGGCGGTTTTTTGTGTACAAAGATGACTTGATGTTCTGCAGATTTTAGATATTGTCGACGAAGCGTACGCCACCAATTCGCTAAGACGCCGATACCGGACTTCAACTGCTGTAAAGAATGCTCCTTAGCTCTGGCGCCAAACGGCCGTAAAATGTATTTATTTATTTATTTTATTTTCTAATCCTAGCGTTACAAGTACAAGATTACTTTTAAGTTATTGCGCAAGTCATTACATATTTATTTCTAATTTAATTCAGCTTAATTTAATTTAGTTACAAAATTATTTTTTTTTATGGAAATTTAAAAAAAACCTTACATTTATTTACAGTTTATTCAGGAGCATTTGTTTTCCGATAACATACGTACGATAACAACGTACGATTAGAAGCACAGTAGTTTTTCTATAGTATTTCACAATACTAGACGCATTCCACTCGCATCGAAGTGTAATGTTATTTCAGAAACACACAGGCTTTGTGTACTCCTTATGGAGCTGTTATGCGCATTACCCGAACTTGTTTCCCATCTGTTGAACTAGATCTTCTGCGCTGGTTCAACTTTTTGATTTGGATTTGTAAAGTAACTCCTGATGTTTCCTTTGAGCTCAGGGCAGGTGAAAGAGTATATAATATTTGGAACAAGCATTGCAAAGGGCTATCGGAAGATAAGGAAACGTGCTTTTGTAACATTTTTCAAGCCATTTTAGACTTACCTTGACATACCAAAGTCAAATATAAGGCTAAAAATTATAAACAAATATTCAACAAATAGTTTGTAAAGAATAAATATGATTGTCATTTCTTTTTGAAAGTTAAAACGAAATCAACCAATTTTCTTCTTTTTGTAATATTGCTGAAACTGCCGAATATCTTGCCTAATTGCCAATGATTCTGTACTCTAAGAAGAAAATGTGAACCTTTCGACTTTTAATGATTAAAGATTTTCTTTTTTAAAGACAGCTTTCTGCTTTTAAAGGTGCTGCAGAATTTTAATTTTAATTATTTAAATACTTTTATTAAACACTCGAGTTTGGGTTGAAGTCTAATGAAATCGTGTTTGTTTTATCGCTTCCACTCGGTCTTCGACTATTTGGGGTGTTCTGTGCCTGTCTTCTGACTGCTCTTGCGTCCGACCCTATTTGGGGAAAGCTTATCGTTCGAGTTGCAGGAACACCACTTGTTAAAGCTCTGCTAAAAGTGTAAGCAGTGCTAGAAAAGGCCAAAATAATGGGGAAGTGCATTAAAAGAACTATGAAATCCAGCTAGCTTGGAACTCATAGCTTTTATGCATAATTTTAAAATGTAAAGTACTTAGAAAGAAGTGCCAAGAAAATGTACAGAAGCATAACAAATCCATTCCATTGTGCGCGTTAAATTTTTGAATCTGATGAGAGAAATTGCGTAATAAAAGATAAGCTAGAACAGCTGTATGCAATAAGGACGATTGCATTGGAACAGCTCAAAAAGCTCGTAGCAGACTAGCTGAGTAATACCTTATTTATTAGCTAGCAATAGACTTTAAAAACTTCGCTAAACCTACACGCAGAAGGAGAGAAAAGTCAAGAAGCTCGCCTTTTTGTATTAAAACCAACATATTTTAAAAATGGCGGATGGCGCTTTTCTTATTAAATTATCCATGTTATACACCTCCTGCATAAATCGACTCTGTGTTAAAAGTTGCACTAAAGCTGTTCATAACAAGGATGGTTTCGTAAAAAGCTCAGCTTTCGTAGTCAACTTTAAAACCGTTGGTAGTTTTCCAATAAATATTGTGGTTTGAAGCCGAACTATCTGAGCTATTCACCATGCAGCACTTCACCTCGTGGTAGCTAAAAGTTACCACAATCAATGTATTTTCATTGCATCGATTGTTTTAAATGCACCGCCATTAGATTGTTTTTAGCATTTGCCATCTATCGGTCAACTGCGATATCGATAAGTTCGCGTATAGTTATTCGATAACAGTTTGGGTTGGCCAGATCGAAAATAGCTGGCATCTTTTCTCGAACAGGTGGCAACAGCATTACATTGCCAACCAGCTGGCCCACCAAAGGTCTCTTGCACATTGTAGTCGAAGCGGTATAGTTGTACACAAAATTGTTAAAATAATTAACAATGGCCGGCATGACGAGTGTGGAAAAAGGTGAACTGATGGAGCAGGTGAAGCAACAGATTCAGGTTGCCAACGCCCAGGAGCTCCTCACAGTGAGTATCGTCATCGTTCTCCATTCGCTTCTCGTTATCTAACTGCCGCAAACGTGGTCCCATTGACCTTGCAGAAAATGACTGAAAAGTGCTTTAAAAAGTGCGTTGGGAAGCCTGGAACCTCTCTGGACTCCTCGGAGCAGGTGAGTACAACCGTAATACATCTGCTGCCGTTGATAAACATTGAACGCGCTTTTCCCTTCCACAGAAATGCATATCCATGTGCATGGACCGATTCATGGACTCGTGGAATCTCATTTCTCGAGCATATGGCCAAAGATTGCAGCGCGAGTCCAAAATGTGAGCTGACGTTGGCAGCTTGAACAGCAGCATCCGCGTCTCTTACTCTAATTCTAGTTATTAAAACACAATAACACTATTTGTACAATTTTGACATTAATCGGCCATCGGCATCGATGCTGATCTGTAGAGTTCGTTCCCTTGCGTTCAGCTTCGACTTGGACCGAGAATAAATGTAACGTACCTCACCTCCTAATTTTAATTTGAATTCAACTGAACTGTAAAGTGCAATATTCATTAAATCAGCTCTTATTTACACAAAATCATCTCCAATTGGTGCAACCAAAGTGGAGATTGCATAAAAAATTACTTAGATGATTATTTGTATAGACAATTAGTTCTAAACCAATCTGAGAAATGACATTTTTGGTAAAAGATCAATCTTATCTTCTTCATAATTAAAATTCATCAGGTTTATTGTTAATATAGATTATTGCTTACCAATTATTGCTTACCAATTATTGCTTTCCAAAAGCTGATCACGTCTGATCGAGTGGACAGTATAAAATAGGTAGTTTGAGAGACAAGGAAAAGATTTCCGCCCATCAGAATTTGTTTTATTTATTGGCTGCTTCTATCTAATTATGACTCTATTATAGAAATCAATTTGCAGAGTGGAACATATTCGTCTCAATCGAACGGCAACAGGTGATAGAAAACCTGATTATTTTATTTTCTTTATATGAATTATTTGTCATATCACATATTTTATATGAAATAATGTATAGGAATTTTCAACAAATATTTCTCTGTTGGCTTGTTCCTGGCGAGAATCGAATAATGATCCTAGGGCGAGCAACTATACAGTTGATTATAAGCTTAGGGTAAATATTTAGATACTGCATATTGATAGTCTGGAACTTAAACAAGAATGGAATGCTCGAGTTCGGTAAGCTGAACTCTTAAATTCCCTGTACCCACTCATTCATTTAAAATAAAATAATAAAGATTCAAAATTCATTTAAAATAAAATAATAAATATTCAATACATACTTACAAAAGTTGGGACATATATACTGTAAAGTTTCCATAGAATGCCTTTACACCGAGATTGTGTTTATGCCTACGAGCAAGGGCGTACGCAGCTTTTGCCAAAGGGGGGCCAAATTATTACAATGTTGATTAAATAATGCACGATGCATTTAAAAAATGATTAATAAAAAATACTTTAACAAATCCAACTCAGTTCCACTTTAAGGCGATATAGTGCGCCACAATAATGAATGTGTGGTCGACTTCATATGGGGGCCGTTCCCCCGCCCACCCTGCGTACACCCATGCCTATGTGCCTGGATGTGTGCAGTGCAGAGTCAAAGCAACAGCAGCTGGCAGATCTTTGACAGAGATTAAATTTTTGTCTATAACTTCTCAACAATTGACGTATCATGATGAAACATGATGGAGGATAAACACTAACTAGATGTAATTGTCGAATTTTAGTAAAAAAAAAAAAAAAAAAAAAAAACCAAGATTATGGGATTTATGGAAAATCAATAGTAGCGGGGGGTGGGGATAAAACAAATATAAGCTCGTTCTTTTCGGGCTTAGGAGACTTCAGATATCAAGTTTGGTTATTCTATCTCTTCTACTTGTACTTTCCAATATGCTTGCGTTTATACAGACACACAGACAGACGGACGGAGATGGCAATATCGACTCGGCTTGTCATACTGATCAAGAAAATATACTTTGGAGGGTGTGCTAAGCCGCCTTCTGTGTGTTACACACATTCCAACGAAACTAGTATACCCTTCTTCCCTTTGGGTACAGGGTATACAAATAAATTTAAAAGCCCAAAAGAGAGGCGATTGCTTAATGTTGTTATTGGCTGCGTATAAAGAATATGTGCAACACCATTAGTTTCTATAAGCTTCATTGGAATTTTAGTTACTCATTTGACAAAATGAATAGTTATACTTGTATATCTTCATTAAGAGTTCTGTACAACTACAATGTACTACAATAGTATGAACAAAAAGTTTAGTAAAGAAAGATAGAAAAAAAGAAGAAAATTTCTCGCATTGGCCACAGCTTAGGACCAAAAAGAGTAAACAGTCGTTGGCTTTTCCGTAAAGAAGAGAAAAATAGTTGTTCCCGGAGCAATTATGCGTCAGTTTAATCTTCTTTTGGGGAGACAACCTGATTTGTATTTCGAATTCCCACAGTGCATCAAAGAAACAAAGTCCATCTAGCTATTGTCCTAGCTCGTCGCGACCCGCTAAAACATCCGTGTGCTCAGCGATGAGCTAGACATGCGCCTGCCAAGGTGGTAACTGGCACAGCATCTGCTCTGGTTAAAACTCCTAAAGCCAGTTAAGGTGATGGATGGGATCGTATTGCAATACTGTCGCAGCATTTTAAGGGGCGTGGCGTTGAGCTTTCGCTAATACCGCAATTGGCTGTCGATAGCGACAGCTAGCACCCCATTGGACGTTCGTTTGTTTGCGAGCGAACGGCCTGCGCTCTGCCGCCCGGCGCACTCTCTTCGTGCTGCCCAAAGAGCAAAGAGCAGCAAAGAGACGACGATGATGATGCTGCGCTGCTAGTCCGTTGCCGACAACGAGACCGAAAACACACGCTGCCGGCGGCCACAGTCGCAGTCGCAGTCGCATTTGCCCGAATGTATCAGAAAAATGTTGTCGTTGTTTTAGTAGTGTTTGCCGTTGTTGTTGTTGTTGTTATTGTCGTTGTCGAAGAGCATCTCACAGCGTGCGTAAGGTTGCCTCTTGCACTCGCAGCAGCCGAAGCAGCAACAACAACAGCCCACATTGCAAGTGCCTCAGCCTTAGTCTCAGTCTCAGCAGCCGCGACGGAGTCGTCGTCAGTGACAATTGGACATTGCCACGCAGTGGTGGTGGTGGTGGTGGTACTTGAAAACACGCGTCGCCGTCGTCTCAATTCTTTTCTGTTTTCTGCCAATTTCTGGCTGGCCGTGCCGCGTGTGTTCCGACAATTTTGAATCGATCTCAAACACAAAAACTCAAAAACACAAAAGTTCAAAAAGAACTAAACTACTACGGTTCTTGTAGACAAAGACAATATCAGCAATTGGCAATCGTCGGCTCTTTAGCCGGTTGTAACGGGGCTTAGTTGCGATAGTGTGCGACGAGAAAAGCTGAATGGGCTGATTAATCTGGGCTTGCCGGCCGTGCCAATTCCTTAATTAGTAGTGCTACACACACACACAAACTCTCTCTTTCTCTCACTGTCTCTGTCTTTGGGTGTGTGATTGTGATTGTGTTTGTGCTTGTATCCCGAATACCCATGATATTCCCCGACTATTTCGACTTAAAGTCGAACACTTTAAAACTCAGTTACGGTGCTGATTATGAATGATTACGAACATATACGCCTCTGTCTATAGCTCCGCTATAGCTCTCGAACTAAATTTGAACCTGAAGGTCAAACACTTATCACATACAAAAACTAAATCGAATATTTGAATATTTGTAGCGTCTACGGACGGCAAGTCTGGAATTTATTGCTGATCGCTGGCCCAGGCAACATTTTTTTTTTGTTTTTTTTTTGGAGCACGCTTCAAGTGCTGACGCATTTTTTCTTTTTGTTGTTGTTGTTTTTTGTTATTATTGCTACTCCAATTGCTGTGCATACATGCATACACATGTGCATGTACATGTGTATGTGTAGAGAGTGACATCCCCGAAAAGTGGTGACAGATCGAGTCTAAGGCTCTGACGAGTGACTATTCAAACACACATACACACCCATTCGCACGCTCGCAAGTCTAGTCGGTTGTTCGCGTCCTGAGATAGCGAGTTAGTCGGTTAATTGTGATCGATCATCCATCCAACAGGCTAACTTAACAACAAACAAGCAAGTGAAATGAAACGATAAAGGAAAAAACACACACATACTGCATATATACGTTCAGCCGAAATCAAAATAGAAATTCTACAGTGCCATATAATAAGTAGATATCGTTGGTAAAACACACTTTGAGCCACAAACAAAACCTAGTCAACAGATTCAAGCTTTTAACTGCAACAAACCATGGAATAACGAGAGATCAACATCGACATCGAGATCCAGGTGCAGACCCAGATCTTAGAGGTGAGTACCACAGTCACAGTCCATTTGCATGCCTCCCAACTTCTATGCTGGCCCCACCGCTCCCATCCATGACATCCAAGTTTTGGCCTCTCTCTGTTTGTGTGTGTGCGTGAGAGAGTTCAGGCAGGCGAGCAGAGCTCAAAGGATGGCAAAAATGTTCTATTGTAGAGTTACAGAATGATATATGCGTGTACACCCGTATATATGTGTGTGTGTGGTTTTGTTGTGGAAAAGAAGACGAGTGGAGTGTGTTGTGCGAGCATGTGTGCGTGTGAGTGCGTGATTTATGTAATACCTCACAAATGACAGCTGAGAAGAGTTTCGTGTTTAGTCGCAATGCATCCCATGTATACACACACACACACACACACACACACACACTCGCACTCTATAGGCATGCCGAGAAGACAGACACATTGTCGAAGCTCAGAAAATTTAATGCTTTCTTCCGCAAACATTTTTTGATTACATTTCAAATAAACAAACCAAAGCCCATGAGAGCTTAATAAATCTTTATCTAGAAATATTTGGCATACGTTGCCAACACAGGTGCCAGTCGATTTCTATGCCCGAGAAATGAAACAACTGATCGATCACTCAAGGCTTTTGTTTTTATCATTTGGTCTTAATAAATCTTTATCCATAAATATTACGCATATCCCTTAGGAACGAAAGAGCTGATCATTTATGATTAAAAGAACATTTATGGGACTGGTGAGAATCATCAAACGGAACTTTATCGCTTAGGCTTGGTCCAGTGGATACTGTTTTTTGGACATAGACTGTCTTGCAGACAATTGAAAAGATAGTTGGTTTAATTTAGCTTGAATAATGCTTGAAATAATTTACCTGCAAATATTTTTAATATCTCTGGTTTTCAAATCTACACATGTCTCGAAAATTGCCTGCTTTGAATATTCCCACTTTGACAAAAGCCATTTATGAACCAGTTTGCGTCTAGGCATGCATGGAAATTATTATTGCAATGCACCTGCAACTCATATGTGTGGACTAAATATGAGAAGTACGAGCATGTTCAAATGAATCGCCAAGTGGAACTTTGGTCGAACGATCTCTGTGTGAAAGACTGTCGACTGTCTTCTGTCTGTCTGCCCGTCTTCTTTCTTCCGTCTGCTGTCTTCTGGCTTGTCCATTTGGCAATTGCAAAGAGTGTGTGCAGACCGCAGACCGGCAAAGCCAAAGCCCCCAGCAGCAGCCAAAGTTGTTGTTGTCTGCTCTTGCTCGCCCTCTCTCTCTCTCTCTCCCGCTCTCCTGCTGCTCTCTGTCTCTCTCTCTCTTTCACGTTGCCTCTCTCGTGTGGCACGGGGACCTGTTCTCGGTTGTTGACTTGTGCGCACAAGCGGTGGCTGCGACAGGTGCATTTGCCACGCGAGCAGCTCTTTGGGAACTGGCACCAACAACAACAGTAACAGCAAAAGTAGCAACAATAACAACAACAACAATAACAACTGAAGCAGCATCTCGGCTCAGATCATACTGTTGACGGCAGGACTGGTTTGTTGTAATTGCAATCGCACCCGATATTGCCGACTGCGTCGACTGCGACCGCGACTGCGAATGTAACTCTAACTGTAACCAGTGCAGTGTGCGTGAGTGTGTTTGAGTCTGTCTGCATAGTTGTTGTTGTGTGTGTGTGTGTGCGTGCATGCGTGCTGTTTTTTTCTTTTATTATTATTTTTTATTTTGATTTGCAATTCGTTGTTGTTATGGTTGTTGTATTTCTGTTTGATTTGGGTTTGGGTTTGGGTTTGGGGTGTTTGTCCGTTACCAGTTTTTGGTATCATTTCGCATCAAATTCTTTGTGTTCCTGCTGCCTGCCCGTCTCCGTTTCTGTTGCTCCTACATACATATGTATACTCTACTGTCTTTGAGTTGGGCCTGCCTTTGCCCATCACCATCCATGGCCCATCTATGGACACATCCACACATGCACATGCACATTCACATTCACATTTCCACATCTGCACATCCATCGGATGCTAATGTCTTTAACTTTAATGATGTTGCTGCTAGGGGTCCACCTGTCAAATTATTTGTTAGTTGGCCGCTTGTCGATTGTTTGTTCAAGAGTGTCACCCATGGAACGCCATAAATTCTGAGCTCCTGAGCATGCTAAGATGCTTCGATGCTCGGATGGGCTTGGATGTGCTCCGATGTCGGCAGATGCAGCAGCTGCCTCGTGTCTTGCGTTTGTTGTAAAGCGCGCTCATAATAAAGGCCACGGGTACATCAAAGAGACAATCAATGCGAAACAATGACGCAAACACATTCAAACAAACGAGGGGGTGATGGTGATGCTAAAGCTAAAGCTAAAGCTGATGCCGAATGCCGAATGCTGTAGCCTGTTGCCTGTTGCCGCCTGATGCTGATGCTGATGCAAAAGAAAGAAGTCGCACCGTCTTTGAGAATTCGCTAACATACTCACTTACACACACACACACACACACACACACACTTGCACTTTAAAGAGCCACTAGATGGAGGCTAGACTTTGCACTGGCGGCAAAACGCCAAAGCTGCGTCTCTCTGCAGCGCCGCAATAACAACAACAGAGTCAGTCAGCAACAAAATGGAAACAGCAACAGTAACAGTTGCTTTTGGGTCGTCCCGCAGGGGTGTACAGGGGGCGGGGAGGGGAGTGGTTGAGGGACTGGGGTGACTGGGACTGGGCAAGTGAGTGACCGAAACGGCGGCAGCAACACAAAGGCCAAAAATCAAGAAAAACAATTGCGCAATTGTTGCACTTATTTACGACGACGCCGACGACTGCGACGACGACCAGACGACGACGCAGACGTCATCGAAGACAAAACAAGTTGAAGCAAACATTAGTAGCGGCAGTGGCAGTGGCAGCAACGGCAACGGCATCGGCAACAGCAACAGCGACAGTTGGACGAGCTGGCAGGCACTGGCACTGGCACAGGCACAGACACATAAAAGCCGCATTGTTGTTTCCACTGCTTTCCAAGCAAGCAAGTCTTAGCCAAATTGTCATTAAGCTATGCACCCTGGCGATGATGAGGTGGGGGTTAGGGGGAATAAGTCTGTGACAGCCCATAACAATTGTATGTAGTTTTGTGCAATCAAATGTAGGGATTAGTCAAATGGCTTAGGACTACATTAATACCGATTCTTGAATACTAGAGAAGTTCATGTACATACTTATATCCGAAAACACAGCAGAAGATCCATCCAAAATTGTTATTGCACTCGTATAATGTTCGAGGAACGATGCTCGAGCTGTGTGTAAACACAAAACCCATAAAAAGTTATTCGAATGAATGACAAGAGGGTGCAAATCTTATTAATGAACTCATGTAAGACATTGTTGTATTTAAATTTATTTTCAAAGCTATTTTCACTTAGAAGTACCATTCAAATTAAGTTGATCTGATGACTCAGAATACCTATCTTGCTCTTCAAATCTTTTTGCTTTAATTAGAACTATATGTGCATTGATTTCTCAGGTGGATAGTCCAGATATCTATCATATACTATAATTTAAAAAGTACTTTGTCGACGAACTCGATGAACTGAGTCAATTGTATATTGTAGGACAGCTAGAAATGCATTTGGGATATGAAATTTTGGCTGATTTTTGTTGTTTTAAGCGCCGATTAACTGTGATGGATTAATTTTGTCTCCTCAAACTCCATGAATTAATCATACTATACAGTCAACAGTTTTTACAAACCAAAAAGTAGCATTTGGATAAGAAATCATCCGTATATTGTACGACTATATTGACTCTTAAGTTTTTAACGTTTTTCAATTCCAAATTTGATTAAAATATATTGAGTTTCTGCCACAATTATAATCAATTATAATATCTAATTGTCATCATCAAAGATCAGACAGACAAATAATTTGCACACAAATATCTTTTAGTTCATGTTAAACGCTAGTTTAAACAAAAAGTCGATATTTATTGGCCCACTTGAATAATTGACAAATTGTTGTTTGTGTACAAATTATTTGCCTGCCAATCTTGGAAGTTCATGTTATCAGAACAATGCAATAAGCGCTTGTCTCTATTCGAATACTGGGTTTTCTGGATATTCGCTTCATAGGTTTGCAGTCTGTATTGGTGTCGTGCTTAGACATGTTGGAGAGAAGGTGGAATTTCTTACATTAAGGATCCCTAAGCTGGTTCAAGTTTAATAACAAACCCACTTTATCACCTTTGTTTAATGTGGATGCACGGGTCCTTGTGCGTTGCTCTGCTCTGCTGGCGCGATCGTCTGTGTATGTGTGTGTGTGTGTGTGTGCCTGCCCCAAGTTGCGGCAGGTACCCGCAAATCTACTATTGCATGTCCAGTAAGCAGGCAAACGAGACATCGCCATCGCCATCGCCCCTATCGCCCCTGTCACCCCTATTGCCATAATATTGCTTGCATCTACCAAAACCAGAGCCTATTCACACGAGCGCATGCAGATTTCTGTCCACACACACACACACACACACACACACATGCAATAATACATACATACGTATATACATATACTTGTACACATTTAACCATGCGCGACGGGAAGAATGACAGGTTTTTATCCAGTTCTGCCGAGCTGCTGGACAACAACAACAACAACAACCGAAACAACAAGCGAAATTAAAAAGAAAATAATTTTTTTTCTTCTGTCATTTGCGCAATCAAAATTATCGCACTTATTTTATAGATGCCTTGAATGGTCGTAATGGAAAAACGGTGGATACGGCAATGGGATTTGGAATTTGGGGCTTCAAAAACCTTGCCTTCTTAATTATCCAATGGGTACTTTTTCTTAGAAGATTATTGATGGCTAAAAACAAGTTCCATATACATTGAAGAATTTGTTGTTGCGACTACGATTTCCAATTATAATGGATCACTCCAAATCGAAATTAGAGAATAATAACGAGAATAATAGAAAATCAAATGTATTAATAAATGTGAGCGTATTTCCCTCCTAAGCCTCTTTGGATATATAGTATGTATTTA